ACCCTGTGACATCCCCCAAGGTCCCTGGGGCACCTCAGTGTACTGGCGATATACCACCAAGGAAGTACTCACTGTTCTTGCACTCATTAAAGTTCGTGAGAACGATGGCACAGGAGTTGGAATTCTCCAGCTGTGAAGTCAGCACAGGTTAGCTTAGCTGAGGGAGCACCAGTCGCCTGTCTTATCATCCTACCTTCTCTGCATCTCCCCTTGGCTTCCCACTTTCCCGTGTCCTTTCCCTGACCTCTGTTGGACAGAAGTTATCCGCTATTCTCAGATCTTGTGTCCTTTAGTTCTGCTGCTTGGTAATGTAGTGATATTTTATTTGTGTTAATAAGTAAAGCTTGTCTGGAGATCAGAGTGTGAAACTGCTTCCCTAGTCAGCCTTAAAGACCAGGCAGTGGTGACACACACCTCTATTCCCAGTAGTCACACTAATTGCCATAAAAACCAGGCAGTAGTGTGCACACCTTTAATGCCAGCACTAGAGAGTAATATGAAACAGGAGGAGACAGCTCTCAGATCAGCCTCATTCTGAGATTCCTGGAGGCAGGATCTCCATTGCAGGCTGATGTAGAGGTAAGAGCCAGTTACTAGCTGCTTTGCTTTTTCTAGTGTTCATGTTGAACCCCAATATCTATCTCTGGGTTTTTATTAATTATGCTACTGGTTTATGGTCCAGAGGAGCTGCTTGTCCATGGTGGCTCTTGTGCTCCAGAGGTCCCTGGCACTGTTCCTCAATCTGTCCTAGCAGCTGGGCATTTATAAAGCTGCAAGTTTCTCTCCTACTTCCCAGGGATCAGGTCTGTGCAGGAGCCCCACCCCTTCCCTGGACTTACATTCTCATTCATTTCTACTGTCAGCAGTACCGGGACGATGTCATTCAAGGGCAGAGGCAGGGGGAGAGGCACAGTTCCTGTGACTCTGAAAGATATAACGCTGAGATCAGTGATCTTCATGTTTCTGGGCTTGTCCGTGTCTTAGACAAACCGACTCACTGATGAAGGCATCAGATGATGTCTGGCTTCTAAATGAGCGTGTGAGTCCTGAGCTCTCGTCTTGGTCTTTAGTGTTTAAGGAGAATGCAAAGATACCTGGGCAAGTCACAGGACACCTGGCCCAGAGGTCCCCTTGGATAGAGTCACCCTTCAGACACTGGAGCACATTTGTCCACAGACCTTTCTGTTGTCTTGGTATAGCTGTAGATCTGAGTTCACAGCTTTCTGTGTTCTAGTTAGAGAAACTATAATGACTCCTGCCTAGGTCATAGCAGAGGGAAGGAAGGAATGTCAACGCTGGGTATGGGCAGGTGAGAAGCATTTCTATTCTTCTAGTGTGAGCCTAGTGAGAAGGGCCTGACCCTCTATCTGTTCCAGGAGAGGAGCCATAGGCAGCTGGCCCCCAGAAGTGGTAGAGAGATTTTTACTGTGTGGCCTCGAGGTTCTTTTTTCCTCTTTGACTCAGGTCCGTGTACTGTTTAGGAAAAATATAGGATGAGTCACTTAAATAGAGCCAGCAGGAAAGACATAAGGTAGATGTGAGAAGGCTGTTCTTAGCTACAGAGGAACGCTGGTCGTCAGCTCTCCTGGCATTTCCTGACTGTCTAGTGTACTATGGTGGACCAGTCTCCTCTGAGACAGCAGCTGGGCCCCTCTGGTACCCTTCTGCATTGATCGAGTAGAAAGAAAGCGGGTTTTACGTACGTCTCTATTAACTGAATGTTCACTTCGTTGACCTGGAAATGGGTGTCCTGGATGTCAAGGTTGACGCACTGGGTGTTGTTGGAGGAAATAACAGCTTTCATCGTCACATCCATTGCAGACTGAAACTTCAGTAAGCTGATGACAGATCCAAGTGCTCTGTGGAGAATGACATTCTGCCTGAGAGGTGAGGCTCCAGCAGAGGGACGGGCATTTGGGAATCAGCCTCACGCTTTGGGGAAGGTTGTCGTCTAGATGGGAGGACTGTGTTCCAGTCCACGTGCTCCTAGGTCCTCAAACCCATGCAGAGAAGGAAGAGGTGGCCATTTTCGGTAGTTAGTTAACATTTGACTAATAATTGCCTTTGTAGCCTTGAGGAGGTTACTTGTTGTGGGTGGCAGAACCTACGAGTCTCGTACTTATGTCTTCTAGTTGTGTGGAAATGCATAAGAAAAGCCCAGCAGGAGACAGCTTGTGCTTAACATAGGAAGGTCTGGACTGATCCAGCTTTTTCTGTCTATGTGTCCCTGTCATCTGGTTAGAATAGGGACCTCATATCCTAATCCTTGGTGACCCGGCAATCATTTTGGGAACAGGCTCACCCTTTTCCACCTATGTTGGCAGTGACTGCCGAGTGGACTTGGATCTCATCCGCTGCCATGGTTATGTCTATGCTGTCCACGGTGACTTCATCAACCTTTAAGCTGCAGAACAACAACACAGACTCAGTTCTCTGCCTGGAAACAGCCTGGCCCTCATGAGAAAGTCCGTGCGGCCGCCAGTTCCGCACCAGCTGAGCTCTGCCAGTCCTCTGGCTGCCGAGCTCCCCTTCCCACCCAGTGGTTTAAGGTCAAGACATCCTGGTCACATCTTGCAGCTATTCCAGCGGGAATAAGTATGTCTCTCTATGAAAGGGCGGCTTTCCCCGCGGTTGCTGTAGGGTGAGTGTCAGCGTTCCCAGTGAGCAGCTGTTTGTCCAGAAACCCAGAGAACTGTGAAGGAAGCACTTACTCGAGCAGAAGGTCTTGGACCTTGACCTTGAGCAGATCTGAAAGTGGGTCTTTGACGCTTTCTGGGAGTATTTCATTCACCTTGGCCTCTACAGAGTCTTTCAGGTTGTCTACGTTTCCAATCATGTCATCCAAAGGCTTCTTGATATCGGAGAGCACGTCTCCATTCAGAAGTCCTTTCCCAGGGCCCTTGTCTCCACCGAGGCTTAGTAAGCTGCCCAGGCCACCACTGCCCCCTGGGAGGAGCTGGCTGAGACCTCCAGTGGCCTTGGACCCTGAAGAGGGCTTTGAGGGATCCTCATTCCCTGCTTTGCCTAGGATACCATCTAGGCCGAGACCGCCTGCCCCTTGTAGGAGGGAGGTGGGATCTAAGAGCGAGAGCAGGTCAGCATTGTCCACGGTGGCTATCAGTGTCCCAAGCACACCTGCTATGTTAACGTCATCACACTTGACTATTTCCTCGATCTGTGGGGGCAGAGCGTCCATGAGATCTGAAAAAGATCAAGAGATAGTCCTGCTGTGGGTTTTCTGTTCAGATCATCCCTAGCAGCCTCCTTTTGGAAGATGGCATATTGAAATATGGGGCACATAGGAACTCTGTATTCTGCCTTCCCATTTGAGTGCTTCCCCTGCCTAAGTTAAGAATATTTGTCTGTCAGAAAGGTTCCCCTTCCCTGTTGTCCATAGCTCCTGTTAGTCCTCATGGAGCTAAATGTGATCAGATTGTGTGCTACAGAGATACTTAGGGAACCCCATATATGTATGTTATTTTTCTTGTAATTTGCCTTGTTTACTTCTTTTTTTTATTTAAAAAATATCACAAGCACACAGACACACATACATACACAGAGACACAGACACATACACACCCACACCCACACACGGTGCTATCTGGACTAGTCCTGTTAAGCCCTGAGCCATCGGGCCAACTTTATTTTTTTTTTTCTCCCTTGTGTCTATTCCTCAATATCAGCCACAATCTTTAGATTTTTATGGTCCCCTGATCCCCATTCTCTGTGTTTTTTGAGGCTTACTTTGGATGTGTTACATGGTTTCCAGATGAGGGATAAAGGTTATGGTCGCTGATATCTTGTGTATAGTCCAAGAACTTCAGAAGTAGGTGTGTAGTTAAGGGACAAGCACAGTTACCCTTTCTTTCTAGGCCATTTTGCCCCATTCGCCTCCAGTGTTTGGTTCACCTCATCACCTTAGTAGTCTTTGCAGAGTATTGTTTCTGGGATGTGCTATGTTGGACAACCTTTGCATTTGCCTGAGGCTTGGGCACTGATAGTCAGGGGCCTATCATATGTTTCTCTCCATCTGGTATAAATAGGAAGGGAGACATGGAATTCTGGGTAGTAGAGAGCAGATTGAGTGTCATTCTGTGACTTGGAAAGTAGTCTAATCGCTAGGTTGCTATTTCCACATGTCTGTCTTGCTAGCTCTAGTAGAAAGTGCATGGAAAAAAAATGTCGGTGAAGTGTTGAATGTGTTCAGCCTTGCTAACTTCAGAGCTGAGACTGATTGAACCAAAGGGCATCTGACTCAGCAGAATTGCAGTTGAAGCAGTCCCCTGAAGCATCTCTTACAGCCTTTTTGGTCCTTCTTTGTTGAGTTCTGTGTCTAGGACATTGGACTTATGGGGGTGGTTGTTGGCCACTGTGACAGTTCAGTGACTAATGGCCTTCATCTCCATCCTGTCATGCTCTGATGCAGGCCTTTGCTAGACCATTGCTGCAGGGAACTTCCAAGATCTACAGGTGTTTCGTGTCCTACTTTAGCTTTCAAATCTATCCATTTCGTATTGTTCAAACTGAATCACTTCTTTGCCATGCTTTTAGCTACCCAGTTTCCTATATTCTCAGCCTTTGAATACCTCATCTCATGGACCAGTGTGTATCTCAGAGAGAGAATGGAGTGGAAGTTTCATGAGAGTGTGTGTGGTAAAGGGCTTCCCGGCAGCTTCTTAATTTTCTGTTTCCTTTTTCTGGAAACAGGCTGAGGATTAATTAACTGTGGGAGTCTAGACGAGCTTAGGACCCAGCAAGGAGAAAATCTGTGATGTAACAGAGTCTCTAGGTGGTAAGAATTCAGTGGAAGGCAAATAGAGAGACAGCCTTTAGGGTCAGACATTGTTTTTGTCCAGTATAGGGCTGACCTGTTCTAAACTAGTACTGAAATCTTACATGAAGCTCCACCATCTCCCAGAGCTTTTGGATGAGCTGGATTCCGCCCCTTGCTCTTCCAGAATTTCTAGGTATGGACCACATTCCCTTCTCTCTCTAGGCACCAAGAAGATGTCCGAGGATTCTTGTGTTTGAAAACCACTTGTTCAGAAGGTTGACCGACCCTGCTCTGACCTCAGAAATGATCAGGCTATGGGAGGTGTGGACAGGAGCCAAGATGACAGCTGAAGTGAGTCTTACTTACAGTCCTGGAGTTTGCCACCGGAGAGGAAGTATCTGGCTGCAGGTGCACACTTGCCACCTTTGGAGAGAGCTGGTTGATTTTTGGGAGCTGAGCCTTGCTTGTTGGGGGGATTTCTGAGGCGTGGTGGTGTTGGCAGGTTAAGCGGGAGGGTGGTCACATTGGTCACCAAGACAGGGAGATTGATTACCCCTGGGGGTGTTTCCACCAGGTCAAGTGTTCCTGAGTGGATGCTCAACATGATGGCCAAGGCCCAGAGAACCCACATCGTTGTGACTGAATCCTGCAGAAGAGAAATGGGTCACATATGTCAGTCACAATGGCCCTTTGAGTTGTAATGCAACTTTGTATAGGGGATTCCTTGTCTTTGTTAGAGTGTGTTTTTCACATTATCGACACCTCAGTTATCCTCTATTCATGGGAATATGTTAGCATCCTGTGGAAGCAACTCCTTCCTCTATGGGTAACTGTACTGTCATGAATGGCGACATCATGTCAATGTTGTCTGAGCCCTACCCTGAGCTCTGACTTCTTGGATCCATATATATCATCCTGCTATATTGTGTAGTCACATATCCTTTGTATTATCCCCAATATGAATTTCTCCCCTCTTTTGTTTCTCAGTGCTGAGGTTGTACACAGGACTTGCCCATGTTATACAATTGCTCTAGCACTTATCTGTGTCCTAGCCCCCTGGTCATGATCCAGTCCCTGTCTGTGAACATGTCAAGACCTTAGCTCCAATCTCAGGTTTCTTCCCCAAGTGTCTTCTTAATGAGTAGCTAGTATTGGACTTTACCTGAGACATCTTAAGGAACTGTGCCAGCAAAGCTGGACATTAGGCCCCATCCTTACCATGGTTTCCCTTGTCTTAGATGGTGTTCCTCATTCATGGTGGATCTGAGCTGTGCTAGAGGCTCCTGGAGATTATTTCCCATCTCCCTTTTTGATTCCTCTCTTATGCTCATTCTCCACATGTTTTGTCTCTGACATTTACCTTATTCAGCTGATTATTCATTTTGAGACAGGGTCTTAGTCTCCAGTCCCAGCTTTCCTGAAGCTTGCTTTCTGGTTCTGCCTGGCTGTGACATCACCGAGAACTGTTGCCTCTGTCCCTCCATGCCTGGCCTGTCTTTATATCTTTGAATTACATTTATTCATTGCTTTCTGTTAGCTGTGATGTTTGTTGTAAGTCACGTGTGTGTAAGTCCCAGGACAACTGATGGCTCTGGTTCTTTCCTTCCGTGGGCTGCAGGGATCAGACCAAGCTCATCAGGCTTGGTGACAGGTCCCTCTGCCAGATGAGTGGTTTCCTTGTCCCTCTCTAGCGTTGAAACAGGACTGAGGCATGTGTCATGTCATTTCCCCCTAAGACAGGAGTTGCCACAGCAATTTTTCTCTTTTGCCCTCCTTCACCTGCCAGGGATTGCAAAATTGTGGGTGTGGGTCTTCTCTTTGACCTTTGGAAAAGTTGTCAGAATCATCATGGGGTCACTTCTGTCAAATCATGACCCCAAGAGAAGTAATTGCAATTTGGTATATGACAGAGGAGACCCTGCCTATGTGTTCATGATAACAAAGATCATTCATCAGACCTCAACTAATGCCCCTGCTTTACAGAAACGCTGCTGCTGCCTGACACAGTCGAGGCTCCTGCGGTCCACCTGCCCAGCAAGTGCCTCCTCCACCCACGACTGGTACCACTCTGGTAATTACTTGATGTTGATTTAAAATATCACCTATAATCTCTCTCCTTTCATCCTTCCAAACTTGCCGCTCTCTTTTCAAACTCTAATAGTCTCAGTAACTATGTCTTTCCAGAGCTGAGGGGGCCTTAGTCTCAGAAACTGGTCAACCTTAGACAGTGGTTGTGATGGTTTAGGTTGGCACTGTGCACACACTAGTGAAAGTTAGCCCTCTATTGCCATTGCCATCAGAAAGTGATTCCAGTAATTCAAGCCAGTGACAATTCCTTGCCTGGAATAAATTGCCTTTTTGAAAACTAAATCTCACCACATTTCCACCAGACTTCTCCCTTTCTTTTTTGACCTCTGGGAAATCTAAACAGTATTACATCCATCTAAACATACTGTTAGGACAAGTGAGGCATTGTGCCTCTTAATGAGTTCATGTGTATGCTGCCTTGGCGAACGTCTCTGAGAGTTCTAGTGGCTGGTTTTCTGTTTTCTTAAAATAGTCCCCTAATCGGCCCTTGATATCTACCATCCCACTTTAGGCCCAGTATCCTGCAGTTCAACAGCAGAGGAACATTCTAGATCATCAGTGAGTAAACCCTAGTCATCTGTCCAGAGGTGACCTGTCCCATGGTCGTTCCCACGTAGCCTGCCATTCTTAGTGCATCTCTCTGGGCGGTCCTTACCTTGTCCCTCTGAAGGATCAACGTCTTCAGAAGCTGCTTCTCCTCCTGCTCCTGCCTCTGACTGTCCACCCCAAGGCTGAACCCCACTTTTATAGGCATCCACTGTCTCCTAGAAAGGTCATCATAGAGGAAGGGGCATGATCTCGATATGCTGATAAGACAGGCGTGATGCAGTCTGCTTTCCAAAATCAGCGGTGGCTCTTCTTGCTTTTGTTGGCATGTCCCTAGGCCTGTCAAGAGCTGGTTTTGAGATGGCAGAGACAGGCACGTCACAGAGAGAGTGCAAAGGCCCTAGGGGCCTGGTGCTTCTTTGTGTTCTGTATTTATCTTTGGGATGGGTTGCAGCCAATAAATTGCTTTCATCAATGTTTTTATGGAGTTTTTAGAAGGTGGTTTATCTGTCCCCTTCTTGTTTTACATCCTCACAAGCTCTCTTGTGTCTTGCTATCTTTTAGTCATTGGAGTGTTGGGTGACTTTGTACAACGTCAAGATGGACAGAGGCCCAAGGCACACAGTTATAAGTCTCTTCAAAGAGCTTTTATGGTGCCACAATGTCCTTATGTATAAACTCAGCACCTAATGATGAGCAGAAGGGCAGGTATCCATGATTCAGCTATGATGTCCCTTTGGTCATTAATTTAAGTGATGGCTTCCCATCAAGTAGTTTTTCTCATGTATGACTGACATGAAACATCCTGTGGTATCATTCCTACTCACGAGTAATGGGGTGTGCACGGATGGTATATTTCTAGTGACAAAATGAACCTATCTGAGCATAGTAGTGAGCTAGGGTCTGTCAAGCAGAGAAGTTATATACCTGTGTGAGACTCCTATTAAATCTTCTTGTGAAAGTATAACAGGGCTAGCAGAGATGTGTATGCATTTATATTTTCAGTAATATTTATTTATGTAATTATGAGACCCCTTCTATTTATTCTTTTTGTGAAAGTAGAACAGGCCTGTCAGGGATGTGGATGCTATGTACCATTTATATTTTCAGTAATACTTATTTATTCTTTGAAAATGTTTTACATTCATGCAATGTATTTTGATGTTATTCATCTACCACTGCCTTCTTCTAACTCTCCATGGTACCCTTGCTTACTCTCCCTCATAGCTTCTCATTTTCCTTCTTTTGGTTATTTCTATACCTTGACCAATCAGGGCTCTCTACCTTTGTGTGGGCAGCAAACCTGTAGTATCCCCAGAGGAGAGAAACCATCCCTCAACCATCAACAACTGCCAATAGCTCATCCACTAAGTGTAGGTCTTTGCTTGGTCCATACTGGAATCACAACTGGTCTGATCTCCTGGACGACCTTGCAGGTGATTACAGCTGGTAGGAGTTTATGTGTGCGGTAGTAGTGCCACGTCCAGATGTCAGCAGTTCACAGTTCTGAACATCTTTTCTGCCCTCTCTCTCTCATGATGTTTCCTGAGCCTTGTGTGTAAGGAGGTTTTTGTATATTACTTGTTCACAGTGAACTCACAGTTACTTATACTTCACACTTGGGTCAGATATGAGGCTGTATTAACTACTACCCACTGCAGAAAGAAGTGTCTGGCTAAAGTCAAAGTGATAAAAAACCTACATGTACATACGTAGATGTTGGAACGCAGTTTGACAGCATGCGCTGGTAGTGAAACAAGAGGAGATTCCCTTCCTCGGTCCTGCAATCTCCTTAGTCATTTGCTTTTCAGCCGTTTACAACAGCAGACATGAAATCCCTCTGTGAAGCAGGACTCATATTCAGTCAGAAAGCCCTTGTTTATTCCCATGCTCATCATTCCACTATGGGCACATCCTGTGTGCCCACATCTTGTGTGCTGTGTGCATCCAGTGTGGCATGAGACTATTGATGTCTCTCCTGACCCAGGAAGCTTGAGTAGTACCTTCTGGCACTTTAATAGCTACCCAGCAGGGACAGATTTTCCTGGTCAATGGAAGTTGATTTCTTTAAATCCTGCATCTTTTTTTAGAGTGCTGACTTTGTAATATTGTTTTATCATTTAGTTAGGGTAGGCACCTGTACTGTCTAGTTTAATGTCAACTGGACACAGGCTAGGCTAGTTCTCAGAGAGGAGGGAGTCTTAATTGTGAAAATGCCTCCATAATATAAGGCATTTTCTTAATTAGTGAGGGATGGGGGAGGGCTCAGTTCATTGTGTGCGGTGCCATCCCTAGGCTGGGTTCTGGGTTCCTTAAGAAAGCAGGTTGAGAAGGCCATGGGGAAGCAAACCAATAATCAGTGACCCTCCTTGGCCTCTGCGTCAGCTCTTGCCTTCAGGTATTTGCCCTGTTTGAGTTTCTGCCTTGACTTCCCTCTGTGATGGACTCTCACCTGGAAATGTAAGCTGAAATAAAACTTTTCATCCCCAAAATGCTTTGGTCATGATTTTTGTCACAGCAATGGAGACTCCAACTAATACAGCCCCTAAGAGCAACAACCTGTGCTGCTTTGGGTACTTCTCTCCGCCCGATAACTTGTAAGTTGGTGTCTTAATTACAATATGTTGTAGGAGCTTCTTTTCTGGTCCTGTTTATTTGGTGTCCAATGAACCTCTTCTATCTGGTAGGGCAACTCTTTTGTCTAGACTTGGGACATATTCTTCAAGGTTTTTACTGAAAATATGCTCCATGCTGGGGCTGGAGAGATGGCTAAATGTTAAGGAGCACCTGCTGCTCTTGCAGAAGACATGAGTTTTGTTGCCAGCACCCACATCAGACAGCTTACAGCCATCTGGAAATTAGTTCCAGGGGGTCTAATGCCCTCTTCTGGCCTCCTCAGGCATTCTCATGCATGCATGTATACACACAGAAACACATGCAAAATGCAAAACCCCACAAAATATCTTAACAAAGTTTGATAATATTTTCCATGCCTTCAGTATGTTATTCTTCCTCTCCCATGTCCACAAAGTAAAATAAAGGTTCTGTCTTCTGTGGTGTTCCAAAGCTTTCCATGCTCCATTTGTAGACTCTCAGAAGCTGATTATTGACCTTTAATGAATAATCCACTTCCTCTATTTCGTCTTCCAGTTGTGACATTATTTTTTCTACACAATCTATTCTGTTGTGGATTTTCACTGATATTTTTATTTGAGTTTATTTCGGCATCTCATTCTTTGTGAATTCTGCTTTCATATCTTGAATTGACTTCCTCCTCTCATTCAGATCTTTGTTTCTTGTTGGGCATACTCATAGCTTCTTTGCTGTGTGGCAACACAACTGTATTCATTATTGTGAGTTCTCTGTTTGGAAGTTCTTTCAGATTTTTCTTGCTTGGGATTGTTAGCATACAGTTCAAATTTTTTGGGAAGGGGATCTTCCTATTTTTATTTTTTCTTGTGTGTGTGTGTGTGTGCATCTATGTTAGTTTCTTGGCTGGGACTTGCACATCTGAAGTAGTTTGTTGATTTAGTCATTTTTTTCTTTAAGTAACTGTTTTACTTTCAGTGGAGGATGTTTAGTGTACAGAGAGGGTCAAGACACTTTTTCCCTTTGTGGCACTGACCCTGAGGGTTACAACTGTGGGCTGACCTGTTGGTAAAGTCTAGTGTGATTCCCATAGGAGTTGTGTGGCCTATGGGGTGGGAAGGAGTGGGTCTGCCAATAGGCACGGGATGCCAGATGCCTGAGGAATGGGACAGCAGGGCAGGAAAGTGGTATTCTGGAGAAGCTCGATGTCATTGGCAGCACAGGGAGCTGAGATCCTGGTGGACCCTGCAGCCTGTGGCACAGGGAAGAACTGGGCCATTTGACTGATGGAATGGAAAGGAGAAGGATGAGGATGTTTTAAAGAGGTGCTGATTTGTTCCTTTGCTTAGCAGACTGAAATACAGCACTCTTCTGGATGGGGTATGACCCCTGGAATCCCAGTTTGGGAACAGAAAGGCTGGAGCTCAGTGCCTGCTGGAGGAGGGGTGTGTCCTGGAAGGGATTTCACAGCTGGGGACTCGTCAGACCACCAGGAGCAGAGCCTGCAGGGGGACAGTGATGGGAGCAAGCGCATCCTGACTGGAACTGCTTAACTGACATAACGCTGGGCCCTACTTAGCCAGAACCTCATGCCAGGACCCTACAAAGGGTCTCGATGGGGAGACAGTGTGTCACTGGTCTCTTTGTCCTGCTTCCCATGGAGACATGCCGATTAAGTCTTCTTTTTGTGCTTTTCACATTCATTTGGCTTTTAGTTGTCTCCTTGAGAGGGGTGTGCAAACCTGGCTTGCTGGATGGGACACTGGGTGTGACCCTAAATTCAGTAGCAGAATGAGGTGCGAATGCTGCTAGTGGTCTGTGGTGGTTCTGACTGCACCGAGTTTCTGC